ATCTGCTGCGGAGAACGAGGCAGCAGAAAACAGAAGCTAAGGGTGCAGGAGTAAGAAGGAATGACTGCAGGAGGAAGGTCTGGAGGAGGGCACATGGCACATGGCGGAGACAGGTGGCCTTGGAGCGAGCTATGGCACTCCCAGGCCTGTCGCTGCTCTGGGCCTGACATGCGGACCTCAGGACTCTGAGGCTGCAGTTTTCCAAGGCCACCTGCCGCCCGCGGCATCGGCCAGCTCTCCGTTGGGGGTCAGGATCCGGCTGCTTCAGACCGAAAGGACTATACTGAGGAGGTGCCAGGGAGCTCTGGGATTCACGGGAAGGTGAAGAACTGGTCTTGAAAACCAGTCAGGGCCAAGGGACATGTGACAGCAGTAAGCAGCAGGTCCCTGCCCAGGAAGAGTGGGGAGGGCTGCTGCCCGGGCTCCTTCCCCAGGAGCCCAGCCAACTCGTGTGCCCACTCCAGCTCCTGAGAAGGGACAGAGGGCTATCTGGCCCTTGGCTTCTGTGTAGAGGGAGGCGTGACGAGGAATTTCCCCCAACCAGAACACAGGAAGGAATGTCCAATGTCTGGGAACAACTGTCTACCTTCCCTTGAAAATAAAAAAGCCACAACCTGAATGTGTCTGCCACAGGAGCAGAGATAAGAAGAGAGCCAATGTTTACGTGTACTCATCAACCATTCAGTGAGCACCGGGTCATTCCAGCCGCTGCTCCGGCACCGAGACACCTGCAGGGACAGCTGACATCTGATGGCAAGTCAGGAAGAAAAACAAAGAACAAGCCCTGGAAGCCCTGAGGAGGGGGCTAGGCTGGAAAAGATGATCAGCTGAGGGTTCTTTGAGGAGGTGACATTTGGGCAGACAGAGACCACCATGATGTGCAAGTGTGAGTCTCCTGCCAATGTGGGGGGAGGGGAGCATGCTGGAAAGAGGGGACATCAAGATGCAAGTCTCCATGTGTCCCCGGGATAGTGAGGGCAGAGCAGTGGGCAGGGGCCACATCCCAAGGCGCCTCACAGGCCATCTGGAAACTTCCTTCCAAATAAGATGCTAAGCCTTGGGGGATTCTTAAGGAAATGACTCAATTTTTTGTGGTAGTTCTTTTACTGTTAGGTGTTCTAGGTGCGATAACTATTTTGTGAAAAAAACCAACCAAACAAACAAAAAACACAGAGCCTTGACTTTTTGAGATACCTAATGAAATAAAATGGTCTTCTGTCTGGGCCCTGTTCCCACTGACCTGGGGCGGGAAAGGTGGGGAGAGCAGGTAGGGTGGAGGACTCGCACGGCCACAGTGGGCACCTGCTGGGACGGAACGTGGGGGCTGGAGCCCAGCTCACTGCTCTACTTCTGTGTATTTGAAATGTTCTGTGACAAAACATTAAAAAAATAATTAAATAACCCTGGCCAGTTTGGCTCAGTGGTTAGAGTGTCGGCCCACGGACCAGAGAGTCCTGGGTTCGGTTTCTGCTAAGAGCCATGTACCTTGGTTGCGATTTGTCCCCGGCCCCGGTTAGGGTCAGGTGGGTGGCAACCACTCGATGTCTCTCTCTCACATCGATGTTTCTCTCTCTCTCTTCCTCCCTCTCTCCCTCCCACTCTATCTGAAGATAAATGCAAAAATATCCTCGGGTGAGGATTAAAAAAAAAATCATTAAATAAAAGTTAATCTGGTGCCTGGCCGGTGTGGCTCAGTGGTTGAGCGTTGACCCATGTACCAAGTTTGATTCCTGGTCAGGGCACATGTCCAGGTTGTGGGCCAAATCCCAGTGGGGGCATGCAGGAGGCGGCCAATCGATGTTCTCTCTCATAGATGTTTCTATCTCTTTCTCTCCCTCCCTTTCCCTTCCTCTCTCTAAAATCAATACAGAAAAAAAAATTTTTTTTTTAGTGACTCTGGCTAAATGGTGAGAACAGAATGTTGGTGCAAAAGCAGAAGCAGGCAGGCCAATAGGGTATTTGGAAAAGAGAAATGAGCCCAAAGACGACATAAATCATGTATGTTAATCTCAAACCACAAAGACTACTTTCCCCCTAAACAAAACTGGGATTACAATTTACATACAGACGCATAGCCTTTTTAACTTAGCGTAATTTTGTTAAGTGTCCCTTTCTCCGTGATGTTGTTAAGTACTCTAAACTATTCGGCAGCATGAGCAAAATCTAATTTAGGGTGAGCCACTGAGGCTGTGTCCAATCTTTCACTCTTACAAACATCACTATGCCGAGTCCTTACTATTTCTGGTTAAATTCTTTGTCAGAGGGTCTGCGCATTTCAAAGGCATTTGCTTGATCTGGCCGAGATGCCCGGACGAGGGCAGGGATGAGCACACCACGGACAGAGGAGCTGTCCTGTCCCCGCACCTCCTGTGGACACTGGGCGAAGAACTCTCTGCCACCGTCAGGGCCACTTCTGCGATGTTAGGAAGCCTTGGGCGGGTGGCAACACGCAGGAGATACTTAATGAACATTCAAGGTGCTGATGGAGGGAGCCTGGGAAAGTCCATTGGCTTTTAGGGGAGCAAAAGCAGCCCTCTGCTCATCTTCTCAACGGGGCTCCTGGAAGTGGCTGCAGGCTCTGCTGGGAACAGGTGCTGGGCCTGGACAGAAGCTGGACGGCCAGGGCTACCTCTGAGGGGCTGTGGTACCCAGACAGCATCCCTTTAAGAACCTTCCCTTCAGGTGGGTTTCCCTAGTATTTACTTCCATTTTCCAGGGTTAAGCTCAACTCTGCCTTCAATCTATGGTGCATCTCTCTTTTTTTTATCCTCACCTGAGGACTTTTTTTTCTATTTTTTATTCAGATAGAGCGGGAGGGAGAGAGAGGAAGAGAGAGAGAGAGAGAGAAACATCGACGTGAAAGGGACACATCAAGTGGCTGCCACCCGCATGACTAACCAGGGCTGGGGACAAACTGCAACCGAGGTACATGCCCTTAGCGGGAACCGAACCCGGGTCAGACCGCAGGCCGACGCTCTAACCGCTGAGCCAAACTGGCCAGGGCTGTGCATCTCTTGACGTCTTGGTCATCAATGTGGGTGGGGGAGGCCTGCCACCTCACTCTTCTCACTCAGCGCGGAGCCAGCTAGCTGGTGGACCTAGAAGGCGACAGCCCATGTACAACAACATGCCTTCCATCCTGGAATTGGTCTGGGCATTGGGTCCAGCGATGGAGCCACCAGCACAGGCAGAACAAGGCCACCAGCAAGCTCCTCCAACATCGCCACCACAGGGGCAGGGCTCAGGGGTGGGCGGGTGGCACCTGAAAGCCACTGTGACTACAGGGCAGTTGTAGAAAGAATGAGAAACCCTTTCTGATCCAATCTGGACCGACGGCCAAAGTGTACCCTGAAGTAAGAAGAAGAGAGGGAGCTCACATGCACACACGTGGATGGTCACGGCTATAGGGAAGAGGGAGCTCACATGCACATGGTATAACAAAACCGAGAACACACAGTATTAATGATAATGCGCAGAAGCAGGCGTTTTCACATCCACTGGTGGTGTTGATAATTGACACAAGTTCTTTATGGAGGCCAAATTTTATATTTTTATATATATATATATATTTTATATATATATATTTAATCCTCAACCAAGGATATTTTTTCCAGTTATCTTTGGATACAGGGGGAGGGAGAGAGAGAGAGTGGAAGAGAAGGAGGGAGAGAGAAACATCAATGTGAGCGAGATACATGGAGTGTTTGCCTCTCGCACAAGCCTGACCAGGGCCAGAGGCAAACCACAACCGAGGTACGTGCCCTTGACTGGAATTGAACCCACGACTCTTTGGTCAGAGGGCCATTGCTCTGTTGAGCCAAACCGGTCAGGGCTGGAGGCCAAATTTTAAACGTGCATATGCTAGGACTGCAATTTCACCTCAATAAACTTATCCTGTAGAAATATGTGCACGAATGTGTCAAGTCCGCACACATGGGCAGTCACGGGATGAGCATCCGGAGGAGGGCCTGACTGCCGACACTGGGGAACACCGTGCGGCCGGGGAAACAGTGTGGCTCGTCGTGTGTGCCGTGCGCATGCGCAGGTGTGTATGGCCCAGGTCCTCCAATATGGAGGGAAAGCCTCCCTTCAGGACTGCAGAGAGGCCTCTCCTTCAACCAGACTCATAGGAAAGAGACTGAGCCCCCATCTCAGGACTGGGGTTGGGCTCAGGATGATCAAACCCAGCTGGGCCCTGGGGACAGGAAGCTGAATGAAACTCCAAACTGCCCCAGAAGCCACCGTGGGGAAGGGGCTGCAGGGGGCTGGCCCTGGGGGAGGGTCCTGTGAAGGCTGGGGTCTTCCCCAGTGGGGCCCAGGACAGGCCTGGTTGGGAGGGTGGGAGGAGCTGCAAATGGACAGCAGAGGACCTGGGGAATGGTCTGCTCAGGGAAGGGCAGTAAGTCCCGAGACTACGGCCTACAGTGGGAGCAGGAAGAGGAGAGGGGCGATGGAGGCCAGGCCCCGGGAGGGGCACAGCTCCCTGCGGCTGAGTGCCCGCCTTGCTCAGCAGTGTGCAGGTGCTGCTCTGGACATGGGTGGACTGGACCTGCTCTCCTGGGAGAGGCCGTCATAAACAAGAAACAAACAGCAAGATCATCTGGGGCTGAGATCAAGGCTGCGAAGCAAAATAGTATAAGAAACTGAGTGTGAAAGGTGGGGAGTGGGGGGTCAGGAACACAGGCAGCTGAGGCCCCAATGACCAGGAAGAAACATGCCATCAACGACTGGGGGGGGGCAGCACAAAGGAGGGCGGGACACCACATTCACAAGCTAATTGTTCAAGGCAATTGTTTTGCTAATAAAACCATGGCAAGGAAATTAGGCTTTTTTTCGTTTGTAATGAACTCATTACTGAGTTGTATTTTTAGTTCTTTCTCCTGGGTTTTAGAGCCCCGTTGAGAGGGGGAGGTTTGTGGGATGGTCTGGACCCCACACCTCACCTGTCCCAGGGGCAGGACGAGTGCAGAGGGAGGAGGCAGCGGCGAAGAAGCACCCACCTGCTCCGGGAGGTCACGTCTGGGAAGAACTGAACGAGGGCCAGCAGGTTGTGGTGGTGATCCGACGCCAAGCTCAGGGCACTGCACAGCTGCTGCAGCTGTGGGGACAGCCAGCACCACAGGGGTGGGGAAGGGGCCACCCTGACCTCTCCACCAGCCCTCTTGGAGGGTAAGAGGGCCAGTCATGGAGGCCAGGGACAGAAACAATGTTCCCTGGCCTCCCAGTGACCTCATAACCTCAGAGCAGTGCCATCCCCACCTAGGGCAGGCTAAAAGACTCGGGACTTTCTAGAGGAGGCCGGGTTGGGCTGGGCCCAGGGCTCAACGTACCTTTCCCGGCCACTGCCGGATGTTCTCGAGAAGCTGGAGCAGGAGCTGCTGGAGGTCGGTTTTGGGCAGCAGGCGCAGCCCCACGTCCAGGCCAGCTCTGCACATTAGCTCCATCAGGTCCAGGAGGTTCCCATCGGTGGTGGCCCCTGGCTGAGCTAGGGCACACAGTGTCAGGAACTGGAGAGCAGAGAAACACCAGGGCAGGCAGGAGGGTCGGCATGTGAGCCCTCGGCCGTGTTGCACAGGAGCTGAGATAAGCAGTGAGGCCAGAGTCCAGACCCCACGGGGTCCTCAGGTGGCAGGTGATGGCCCGACAGTGAGCGCTGGGTGCTGAGCACTCGCCGGTGCCAGCGGGAACTCACCGAACCACCTGCTGGGTCTGGACTGTGAGTGAGACAGCTGTCGGACTCACCTTACAGATGTAGCTCAGGCTGATGTCCAAGGCGGTCTCCTGGGGGGTGTCCTGCTGCTCACCACAGCTCAGGCTAGCCTCACGTTTAGGCACCCTAAGGCAAGGCAGAAACAAAGGGAGGAAACAGGAGAAATGGCACCAGGGGAGAACTGAGGTGTATAGAGGGGCTCGCACTTGCTCAAGAACAAGGTTCAGGGACACTCCACTCAGCTGTGCCCTGTGTGTGCCCGTCTCCACTGCTGTGTAACAAATTACCCCCAATGCTGAGGCTTAGAAACTACATCTATGATCTCATTCAGTTTCTGTGGGTTGGGATGCAGGAGCAGCTCAGTGGTTCTTGCTCAGGGTCTCTCATGAGGTGAGGTTGTGACAAGGCCCCTTTATGTCTCATCCACTCTCCCACTCTTGTTAACTAGCTCGGAGTCCTGCTAGCAGTAGGCTCTCAATAACCAAAGACACTGACGACAGCGTGGCTGCTGCCATCTCTGCACACGCCAGCGAAGGGTCTCCGTTCTCCTTTACTTCTGGCGGGGGAGGGGGGTGCTCTCTCTGCTCTCCAGAAGGAGAGACCCGTGTCTAGGCACTAGGGAAGCTGGTGCCAACAAACCAAAGCTGGGGCACAGGGCTAGGACTGGGTCAGCTGCTCTTCCAGATCTTAGCATTACTAGGGCCAGGGAATGGGTGAAGCTGGCATCTATATCCGGGCACAGGTGGGCTATGTCAGAACGAGGGGGGTTGCAGCTGTAGCAGCCTGTGAGTATGCACAGGGTGAGCAAGCTTGGGGAAGATGCTTTCAGATCCCAAGGGGGGCATCCGAGCAGGCTGCATGCCTCTGCTGCAGAGCAGTGGGCTTTCGGACAGTTCGGTGCTGCCCGAGAGAGGGAGAGTGCAGAACTGGGAGCTGGGCAGGGGGAGCGTCTGGTGCCAGAGCCCTCCCATCCCTGAGGGAATGCCCGCCTCCCAGGTGGAGAGGGGACAGCTCCTGGAATGCGCTCCTGGGAAACAGCAGACCATAGAAGAGGGCTCTCCACTCCCTGCCTTTCTGAGGAGCCACTCGACTGAAACTGTGACTGCTATTCTGGGACACTCCGCGCCTCCACCACTGCTCGCAGCAGGAGGCCACCGAGACAGGAACCCGCGGCCTGGCAACCCCGTTCCCCTCCTGCACTCAGCAGGCTGAGAGAGCCGATATGACTCCATGAGCAGCCTCATCTGGGACAGGCTTCAGCCGTCCTTGGCTGGCCAGGGCAGGGCTCACAGCCCCACAAGCAGCACCCAGGCACTGGAGTTTGGGTCACAACACTGTTCTACACTCACTGAGTAATCTTAAGAGGGGACCATCCCTCAGTTTCCATATTTGCTTTTCCCAGGGGTTGAAAAAGTAATAGTTACTATCTGTATGGTACTCCCATATTCTCAGCAGCAGGAGGGTGGGGAAGTGTGTGGGCACTGCCCCCACCACAACCAAGAGCTGCTGAGGCGCCCAGGACAGAGCCCCCTCGGGCTGCCGACAGGGTGCTCTCCCTGGGGGCTGCTATGCTGAGGGCACCCACAGTTTCAGTGCCCACCTGCCTGCCTCCTGCACAGGGCTGACCGCACCCGGTAAGGCCAAAACTGCACACTGGGCTGGTGTGCCCAGGTATAACAGATGACACGTTTAAAAGGCCACAGTCCCAGTGCCCACCTGCCTGCCTCCTGCGGCCTCCAAACCAGGTAGATTGTCTTGAAGCACCCGCGGCAGTAAGCCACAGAGAAGGGTGGGAGAGGGGACTGGCCTTTGCAGAGTGCAGAGTGGACTGAGTGGTTGTCTCCAGAGCCACCTCCCACTTTCCCCGTGGGTACCAAGTGCTCGTCAGAACAGTTGGAAGTGGCTCTCCCCAACCCCACAGCACCCCCTCCCCACTCCTGATGTGCATGTGTTTTCTGTGCATAATTCTCCCCTGACCCATCCCAGGTGGTGGTGTGAGTGCAGTTGTGCTGGGGAAGAGGAGAGCGGCCCATCACACCAGCTACAGAACTGGGGGGCGGGGCTGGAGCTGCAGGCTTGCACGTACGTGGCATGTACAGCACAGCCAGTGTGGCTTGGTTTGCAGACAATTACTAGACACAGTCGTGGAAAAGGTTCTTTAGAAAACTTGGGTCTTCCCCCAAGATGGACATCTGCCCACCAGAGCAAAGGAAGGGGGCCCAGCACCTTCTGGGATGAAGGACTGTCCACAGGAGGGGGGCTCCCATGTAATAGCCCATTCAGGGTTCTAAATGTTCTGTTGTTTCTCAAACCAACAGAAATCTCCAGAAAGAGTTTAGACATGCTATAACCCGTAGAACAAGCTCATGAAATGTATGGCTTTTACAACCCAGGCCTGGCCACCATCCAACAGTCCTCACTAAGGTATACTGTATGGCTTTGTTCCCCGAGGGCAGGGACTATGCTTATGCAAATTAGCATCACTGTACCCACCCAGCCCAGCATACACAGGGTGCACCCACAAAACAAAATCGAGCATGGTGGAAGTCACGTGTACACCTGTGCCCTGCTGGCCATGAGCTGACATTAGGTGTGGGCCCGGAGATGGACTGAACAGTGGGGTGGCGAGGGCTTTGAGTCAGGAAGGGACAGGGAGAGGTCAACCAAGCAGCAAGATGCATCACGCCTGTTTCTCTCTGTACAGCTGGGTCTGGGAGCCTGGCAGGTCACACGCTCAGGTGCTCGGGTACTCATGTGGGGTTGTCTGTAATTCCCGCAGACTCTGGGCTTCACCATGTGGGCTATGGCTGAGTTTAGTAACTTTATTTTTTTTTTACTTCAAATAAATGCACATGATTTTATGTAAAAATTAGAAGAAAGGTTTTTTTTCTAACTTATAAATGCTCACTGAGTGGAGGATCATTCCACAGATAATGAAATCGATAGCTTTGTGTAATGAATAGCTAGTTGTGTTACATTTATAGGACATACTTTAAATTAATATTTCCCAGCATGAATATATTTTTAGAATCTTCGTTTCTGGGGGGTAATACTTTGCTTTGTTTCCTAACAAAACACTGAGGTGTAGCTGGTATGGGAAAACCTGCCCTATGTAACGTGACTTGGACAGGTCTGAGCTGAGTCCAGCACCTGATGAACGAATGAGAGGATGCGAGGAAGGGGCCGCACTCACCTCCCACTGTGCTCCGCGGGCGCCTGTGGGCACCAGGCAGGGCTGTGGGCACCCAGGCTGTGGAGTGCCTCCCTGATCTCTGGCAGCTGAGGGCACCACATGTGCGCATCCTCACCTGGCAGGCCGGAGGAAGGCAAGGGTTAGAGTGGGCAGAGGAAGACAGGACGTAAGCTTCCCGCGGCAGGGGCTGGGAGAGAGCCAAAGGGGATCGGTTTCTACATTCGGTAGCACAGGCATCGCCTGCAGAGATAAAGCACCCGGTGGTTTTCAGATGCTCGCTGGAGCTTTGGGAACCTGGCCTTTCATTCTCTGATCTGCAAGCAATGGCTGCCTTGATGTGCAAGGGCCCAGAGGTGACAGCGCCCTGACCCCTCCGCCAGGCAGCCACCAGGGCACTGAGCGGCTCAGAGCTGAGCCAGTTGACGAGCCCTGAATCAGAGGCCTCAAAACTGCAAGGCTGAGAAAACGCCCGTCTTGGTGCCCCAGGCTCTGCCGCAGAGGCCACAGCCCTCGTTGCGACATCCCGGGTTTCCCAGGCCCACCATCCCTGCTGGTGTCTTCTCAGCAAGCTCGGGTTGTGAGCACATCCTTTCTTGACCATTTTACAGAACGAGTGATAATCTGACCACATCAACCAAGGGGAGAACCTTGCATACTCGGGGCTTTTGCTTTTGTCAGACTATTTAAGGTCATTTTTAGAAACAGAATAGAAAAATTAAAAATGTGTGGCCGGGTATGTTTCCTAAAGTCGAAATGCTACAATGTCGTCTCTGCACAAGATACCCCTCATGCCCGTGGAGGCGGTGGAAGAAGCGGAGGGAAGGGACGGAGAGAACCCTAAACAAACTTGACCAGCAGCGCACGGCTAAGAGGGACGCTGAGAACACCGCACAGAATAAGCCGGCAGTGCCGGAGCACAAACGCAGGGTCTGACGGTGAATCAGGCATCGGATCAAGACCCCGGGAGCCAGGCTGGGGTGCATTAGCAGTGTGTGCTCAAACCTTGGCCATCGGAGGCGAGTGCTCCCTCCTAAGGGCTCACTTCCTTACACCCCATGTGTGAGCAAACCATGCCGGTGCTCAGGATATAAAGGTGACTCTGTCGAGAACTTGACCTCAGGGAGCCCACAGTCTAGGAGGGAGAGGAGCCAGGCAGATAAATGAATACAAGAGTGTGTTCGTGGGAAAACCAAAGCAGGTGCAAAGTATGAAGCCTACTCAGAGGAGGGGAAATAATTGGCAAGAGAGGAGGGCAAGGAGCATGCACAGGTAACAGGAAAGGAAGCACACGCCTTGCAAAGCGACAGAAATGTCAAAGACAAAGAGGCACATCCAGAAACCAAGGCAAGTGATCAAGTAGCCTAAACTCACTGAGAGGTTTCGGCCACAGTCCAGTCCGGCTGCAGAGCCAGCAGCCCGTGGAGTGGCGGGCAGAGGGTCCCTGAGTCCCATCCAAGGACATTGCTTCGGTGGCATCGAGTGTCTCTCTCTTTGGAAATGTATATGGGTCTGGGCTCACCCAACAAGTAATCAGACTCCTGGAGGAGGAAAAACTTTCCTTGTTTGTTTTTTTCCTCTCAGGCAGCTTCACAAGTGAGAGAACGGTAATGATACCCCTGCCCGCTCACAAATGAGCTGGGAAGAATGAAGTCTGCAAAACACAATGCGACGTCACTGGAGGGAGAGCTGTTTACCAGGGCCCTTGGGGACAGTGCACGTACGTGCACGCATGTGTGGGCGGCCGATGAACTTTCCAGGGAGGGGAAGACGCATATGGAAAGAGAATCAGGCTAGGGCGAGGCCCGGGGAGGCCCAGCTGGGCCGGAACATCCTGCCAGGGATGTCAGACCCCAAAGGGCGCTGTGCGGGGGCCCACACCCCTCCCACTGTGGCCCACACAGGTGCCTTGCTGCTTTAAACCCGACAGCAGCGCTGGCCCCGCCAGCCTCCAGCCTGGTGCCCTGTCCCACCAGCAGTTACTCCACCAGCGGCCTGACCATACAGATGTGTCAGAAGCAGTTTCAGAGGAAGGGGCCTGGGATGCCTGGGGATGAATGTCCCTATCACAGCCCGGGAAGCTGGCTCAGTGGCGACAGGCACCAGAGAGCCCATAATTAACGCTGCCTATAAGTAGGCCATGCGCTCAGCGTTTCCTGAGCACTGCCTGTGCTGGGGAGTGTGCTTGGAGAGCTGACACAGAAGGAAACTCAGGGATGGAGCTGCCAGCTCCCTCTCCCTGGACTCCACGCCCACAGCAGGCATCCGAGGTGACTGCCCAGGGGACCGGCCTTTTCTGCCAGCACTAACGGCTCGCACAGCTGGGCTCTGTGTAGAGGCTGAGGGTCTGGAGGTGTCCCTCTGGTGGCTCCCCTGAGATGGAACCAATGCTTTGAAGGAGGGCAGGGGAAGAAAAGAATCGCCTAAAATAAGTGACTTTTCCATCTGCACCTCAGAAGAAGCTGTTACTTCACATAACACCACTTTCTCCTGGCACTGTGTGTGTGGAATGGAAAACTACGCACGTCCCCAGATCCTCCTGGGGGGAGGCTCCACTGTGGGGCTGTTTCCTAAAGGCAGTGGCAGAGCCCCAGTCCTAACCAGACTAAGTGCTGGGGGTCCAGTGATGAATGAGAGAGAGAGGGAGACAGATAGGTGTGTGTGTCCTGGTCTTGTGGAGCTGATGACTGGGTGGAAAAACAGACAAGGCACATGACAAATGGACAAATAAGTACACAGATGATGGCAGGAGGTCGGCTGGCATGGGAGAAAGAGGGCCAGGGTGACAGGCGATGTCACAGACAGGAGGAGGAGCCTGCAGGGACCTGAGACCAGACTCTTGCTCCCCCTTCTGATCCAGCAGGGAGCCCAGCGTGGGGACTGCCCGCCCTGCAGACTGGGGCAAGGACGCAGGGCAAAGGCAGCAGCTGGCCGTGTGGGGAGGGAGTGATGTCACCACAGGGTCCATCATGTGGTGCAAAAGACACAATCCTATCAAGTCCGTATTTTAAAACGCACACATTTCATTGGCACAATTACACGGTGAACCCCCCGTGCACAGCAGGGGCGTGCCCGTCGGCAGGGGGCTCTGGTTCTTCAGGACGCACGCTACCCACCCTTCCTTAGAAAGAGCCCTGTCTTCCCATCACTGCTGGTGCCCAGGGCGGAGAACCGGTGCCCAGCAGGACCCTGACAAGCTCTGACCCGCCCGTTCTTAGCCTCTCACCCCCACTGGCTTCTCCTCCAGGACTGCTCTACCCACCTTCTTTCGGAACCTTCTGTTTGTTTGTCTGCTGTACAACCTGCCCCGTGGGCCTCTTCACTTTCCCTTTCTCCCCATCCCCCTGAGACAAGCCCTCCCTTTGGTTCCCCACAACCTCTCCTGCCCTGTGTAACCCAGCCTGTACCCAGCCCCCATATATCCCTGAATATCACCCTCCACACACATGTACTGCACACCCCCATGCATTACACACAGCCTGTCAGCCCCCGGTCTGTTTGTTCATGGGGCCAAGGATGTGTCCGGGTAGGTGAAGCCGTCCCCAAGGCATCTCTCCTCTGCCCTCTGTAACTCACACTCCTACGTGGTGTCACCTGGCGCAGTTGAGCACCCTGCTGTGTGCAGGACAGACCTGCATTGTGCCAAACCACTGAACCACTCATATCAGCTAGAATTAGTTCAGGTGCAAATAACAGAGTCCAAAAACAAAAACAAAAAACCCACCTGGGCTTAAATAAGCTAGATTTTCATCCTCTTTGATGAAAAAGAAGTCCAGAGGTGAGTGAGCCACACTGGTGTAGGGACCTGACTAATCTGTAGGATCCTGGGTGCCCCACTTCTGCTCCGCCATTCTCAGCATGTGTCTCTCTTTCTCAAGGTCGCCTCGCTGTCCAAGATGGCTGCGAGGGGCCAGCTAGTACGTCTCACCCCCAAGCAACCACTTCCTCACTTTGCCACCTGTGTATCCTTGGGTTGTTGTTAAGGATGTTGAGCCCCCTCAGCGTGCCTTGGGAAGGCAATAAGATCACCATCCCCTGTGAAAGCAAGAGTTTGAGGCGAATTTAGACTCAACTAAGGAGCTTCCCAGTGATGTTCCTGAATGCACGGCCCATCACATTCTCTCTCACTTTGGATTTCTGAACCTGAGACTCTGGAATATTCCTGATCTCTGGAATGAAACGAGACAGAAGACATCAAATGCTGGCAAGGGTGTGGTGCAATAGGACTTTCATTCATTGTTGGTGGGAATGCAAAGCGGTACAGCCACTTTCAAACACAGTCTGGCAGTTTCTTACAAAACTAAACATAGGCTTACCATATGATCCAACAATTGTGCTCCTTGGTATTTTCCCCAAAAAGTTGCCCTTGAATTTTATAGCAACTTTATTCATAACTGTCCAAACTTGGAAGCAACCAAGATGTCCTTCAGCAGGTGATGGATGAGCACACTGGTTCACACAGACGGTAGAGTATTATTGATCGATAAAAAGAAATGTGATCCGGCTGCTAAAAGACAAGGGAAAACCTCCAGTGCAACTTACTAAGTGAAAGAAGCCTCTGAAAAGGCTACATGTTGTATAAGTCCAACTATATGACACCTGGAGACAGTAACAGATCGGTGATCGCAGAGGTTGGGGTGAGGAGGGAGGAATGGGGCTCAGGGCATTTTTAGGACAGTGAAGCTGTTCTGTATGAGACTTCAATAGAGGAGAGATGTCATCACACACTTCTTAAAACCCAGAGAACATACAACACGAGGAGTGAACCCTAATTTCTTTCTAATTAAAATTTTTTTTCTTTATTGATTTTAGAGAGAGAGGGAGGGAGAGAGAGAAACAGCAATAAGAGAGAACATTGATTGGCCACCTCCTGTATGCCCCCCACTGGGGATGGGGCCCACAACCTGGGCACACACCCCTGGAATCGAACTGGCGACCTCTTGGTGCCTGGGTCAATGCCCAACCACTGAGCCACACCAGCTGGGTGAGTGAACCCTAATTTAAACAATGAACTCCAGTTAATAACGTTTCATGAATGGCTCATCAATTCTAACAGAGATACTACACTAATGCGAGATGTTACTAACAGGAGAAACTGTGTGTGTGTGTGAACATACGGGAACTCTCCGTACTTTCCCATTAATTTTTTCTGAAAGACTAAAACTGCTCTAAAATATAACACTAACAACAAAGAATTCTTAAATAAAAGAAAGAAACAGAGAAGAAACAGCACCTTGGGCAGCAGTCCAGCATCAAGGAGTGGGAGCCTATGGGACCAGGGCGTGCACTCTCTTCTGGACCAAGGACACAGCTGAGAACAAGGCAGTGGGTCTCAGACTGGGCATATTTTGGAACCACCTTGGGTGCAACTTCAGACAGGGCTGCCACCTGCGCCCCACCCCCAGAGACTGGGTGACTGGTCTGGGGTGGGCAGCCAGCTCTGGAAGGCTGGGCCGAGGAAATGCCACCCTCGCTCCAAAGCAGCAGAGGGCCGTCCTCACCGGCTCCAGCGGTGGAAATGGCTGGGGAGGGGTGAGTTGGGGGAGAACTGAAGGGGAAGCAGCCCAGCTCCCCACACACCCACGGCCTTGGCCTTGCACAGTGGCCCAGAGGTTGCCAGCCCCTGCTGTTCTCTGGAATCATCAATACCCACAGCCAGGCTGCACTCCAGACCACCGCAGGGGCAGGACTGCGTCTGTGTGAAGCTCAGCAACAGCTCAACACTGCGGCGGTGGGGGCCAGCCCTGGGGGCACACCAACACCCCTGACCAGGGTCTAAAAGGCAACGCGTTTAGCCTGGCTGGAGTGGCTCAGTTGGCTGAGAGTCACCCGTGCACCACTGGAAGGCAACCTATTGATCTCTAAGCATGCCTTCGGGTGAGGATTACCAAAAAAAGACAAAAACACATTCAAGTCAGTTATAGTCATTTCCCCCTTTTTTTGTGTGTGTTAATCCTCCCCGAAGATCTTTTTCCATTGATTTTTTAGAGACAGTGGAAGAGAGGGAGGGGAAGGCGGGGAGAGAAAGAGACATCCATGTGAGAGAGACACACTGCTTGGTTGCCTTTCACATGTGCCCCAACTAGGCAAGGGAATCAAACATGCAACCCATGTATATGACCTTGACCAGAAATCGAACCTGCAACCCTTCAGTGCGCAGGCACTGTTACTGACTCTAACCACTGAGCTCACCGGCCAGGGCCATTTTCCCCTTTTTGTTTTAATTTTAATGTTTAAATTTTATTTATTTTATTTTAATTTTTTTTTAGAGCAGAGCACCAGCACAGTCCCCCACAAACACAATTATGCCGTTGAGTTTCCCACATTTGGGAAAATCACAGGGGTCAGCACATCTGGAGTGCAGTGTAGAAGCCTCGCCCTGGGAGAACCACCTCTGATCATGGTATCTCCCTGTAAGGTCAGTATCAATTTTTTATTTTTTTTGTTAACCCTCACCTGAGGATATTTTTCTATCGAATTTTAGAGAGAGTGGAAGGGAGAGAGGGATAGAGAGAAAAATATCAATGTGAGAGACACATCAATTGGTTGCCTTCTGCATGACCCAACCAGGGCCAGGGATCAAATCTGCAACCCAGGTATACACCCTTGACCAGAATTCAACTCACGACCCTTCAGTCTGCTAACCACTAAGCCAAACTGGCCAGGGACCCCCTCTTTTTATTTATTTTATTTTAAAAATAATTTTTTTTTTCTTTATTAACTTTAAAGAGAGAGGAAGGGAGAGGGAGAGAGAAACATCGATGAGAAAGAACATTGACTGGCTGCCTCCTGCATGCCCCCCACTGGGGATCGGGCCCACAACTTGGGCACTTGCCCTGACCGGGTATCAAACCGGCAACCTCTTGATGCATGGGTTGACACTCAACCAGTGAGCCACACCAGCCGGGCAGGGACCCCCCTCTTTTTAAAGGTGGGTCCAGAGTGTTGAGCTGTAGAGGTGGGATAATCCATCATTGCGTGGCCCCTCTCTGCTCCACCAAGAGGTTTCCACACTCGGCCAAAGCCCCTAACCCAGCTCCTCCTCAGCCTGGCTGCACAGGAGAATCACCTGGAGCTATAATAAATCTGGGGCAGGTACTCTTCCAGTGCGCTACAGGTGTTTGCCCACCTGTCGTGGCCACACACCGGAGCAGCACCACACCACCTGGCTGTATAGGTGGGACGGAAGCGGCGGGTCAGGAAGCTAATGTTTCAGGTGCTGCTGGGCTGGGGTAAAGCACACAAGCCTGTCGGTACAGGGCCAGCAGACCCTGTGTCCCAACCTCAGAAGGCCAGACAGCATGCCCAGGGCTTGGCCAGCACACACAGCTCCACAGTCAACTGACCGATCGGGGTCAGAGGAGCTGGTGGAACAAGGTGCTGATACCGCTGTGGACAATGCATGTGTTCCTCAAGACTCATCCTCTCCTTCCACGCATACTACCCGAGTCCTGCTGTGTACCTGGCTCATGTAGTTGCCAGGAACTCTAAAGAAGGCTAAACGAAAACCAGCAAAGACATGGCCCCTGTGCTCAGGAGTTCATAGCCTAACGGGAGAAACAACATGAATCAAAGAATTCACCATCAGCCCTGACTGGTTTGGCTCAGGGGCTGGAGTGTTGGCCTGCAGACCAGAGAGTTCCAGGTTCGGTTCCTGCTAAGGGCACGTACCTTGGTTGCAGTTTGTCCCAACCTGGGTCTGTGTGGGTAGCAACCAGTTGATGTGTCTTTCTCACATCGATGTTTCCCTTTCTTCATCCCTCTCTCCCTCCCGCTCTATCTGAAGATAAATGCAAAAATGTCCTCGGGTGAGGATTAAAAAAAAAAAAGAAGAATTCACCATTAACTATGCCTAGAGCCACAAAGCATGGAAAAGCAGCGTGAAAGTAGAGAGATGAGGGAGAAGACATGAGTTACAGGACAGAGTGCCACAGAGGTGAGCCAGAGGAGATGACCTTGAAAAGGCAAAAGCAGGGAGCTGCTGGGAGGAGGGAGATGTGCAGCCAGGCAAGGGACTGGCACAAGCAAAAGCCCTGTGGCAGGAAGGAAGCTGGGAGGAAAAGAAGGCCAGCAAGGCTGGAGTACCAAGACCAAGAGAGAATATGAAAAAGTGAGCTGGACCAGGGCTGGGTTAGCACGTAGGAGACTGTGTGCATCACCCAAAGAGTGTGCAGCTCGGGCTTTAAGCTCTGATTATCTGTAAAATGGGGAAATAGTTTTATCTACTGTTGGATTGTTATGATGATTAAATGAAATAAGCAAAGCCCTGGGCTCAGTGCCTAACACAGCTCTCTAGAAATGTTAGCTATTATTTTCAATGAAACTACTTTTATTATTACAATAATACATTTTAAAATTGAGGATCCATTATGAAGTGGAATTACTGTTATTGTCACATTCCAACTGGAGACTTTTAAAGGGGTTGTGCCAAGGCCAGCCAGTGTGGATCAGTGGTTGAGCGTCGACCTATGCACCAAGAGGTCGCCGGTTCGATTCCTGGTCCGGGCACATGCCCAGGTGGTGGGCCTGATCCCCAGTGGAGGGAATTCTGGAGGTGGCCAATCGATGTTCTCTCTCATCAATGTTTCTCGCTCTCTCTCCCTCTCCTTTCCTTTCCCTCTCTCTCTAAAGAATCCATAAAGAAAAATGAAAATTTTTAAAAGGGGTTGTGCCAAGCAAATGATGGCTCTGAAAGAGCTGGGGTGACGGGATCTCCTGGGTGGTCCTCCAAGTGTTTCCGGCCTGTCTGGGTCTGCACAACCTTCTCACAGCATGAGTGTCGGGATGAAGGGTCAGCTGGTGCAGACCTGGGTCCCCACCGCCTCTCTGGGCCTGGGGGTAGCAGCACCCGCCCTGAGAAGTTAGTGAGTGAAGGGCATCCACATGTGTCCGCTGCTGCTGCCACTGCCACCGGAGAGGAGAGCCACTAACAAGGCCACGCGGAGCCCCAGGAGCGCCAGCGGAGGCTGTGCTGAGCGGGAGAGGCAGACCGTGAAGCGCGGGCGGCTCCTAACAGCAGTGAAGGGCAGGCAGCGTCCACCGGATGTGCAGACAAAGGGATTTGACTGCTTAAAAGCCATCTGAGAAAACAAAAAGAAAAACCAAACCCACCACCTGGGACAGAAATGGCAAAAGCAGAACTATAGAAATTAAGAAAAGGGACAGAGAACACTTGGAACACTGGTGCTACTCAGCTCCTTCAGTTTATCTAGTGATCTCTCATTCATAAAAAATATGTGTTTAGCCGTGGCTGGTTTGGCTCAGTGGTTGGAGCATCGGCCTGCGGACCAGAGGGTCTCGGGTTCGGTTCCCGCTAAGGGCATGTACCAAAAAAAATAAAATAAAATAAAAAAACGTGTTTTGAAAACAGCTGTCATGTTTTGAGTGTCCACTACGCACCAGGTGTTTTCACACCTGACATCTCTGCTGACTTAGATAACAGTCCTGAGAGTCAGCACTGGCACTGGGGTGGCGACTCCCCAAGTCTGACTGCCCAGCTCCACTCTGTCAGAATGCTGCCCTACGCCATTGTCTCTACTCCATCTACCTTGTCCTATGCTCTGTCACCGATCACACATCCTGTGTCCCCAAGATACATCTCTGCTCAAAATTTCCAATGAGTCAGCCTAGGGTCGCAATCAAAGAATGCTTTTGCTGGTCTCCAAATTTTTTGATGTGCATGTCTACCATTAAACATTTAAATTTATACTCCAATAAATATACATTTACAAACCATGTAAATATACCATGATACTAACATGATATATCCATTATATAACTTAAAAACTTGAAAGAGATGAGTTACTATGAGCTAAATTTCCACCTCAAAAAACTGAGGAAAAAAGAGCAAATCAAACCCAAAACAAGCAGAAGAAAGAAAATAATAAAGATAAGGGCAGAAATCAGAAAACAGGAAAACTATAAGAAAAATCAGTGAAAACCAAAGCTGGTTTTTTGAGAAGATCAATAAGGTTGATAAACCTGTAACTTGACTGATCAGGAAAAAGAAGGAACAAGAAATTCCAGTATCAGAATGAGAAAGGGCCACCATCACTGGTCCACCAGACGTTAAAAAGATAAGGGAATATTATGAAAAATCTATGCCAACAAACTCCACAACTTAGAGATGAATATAAACTACATATAGGTCATATAAATAGCCACATAACTATTATAAAAATCGGGTTTGTAGTTAAAAATCTTCCCACAAAGAAAACTTAAAACCCAGCCCTGGCCGGTTTAGCTCAGTGGCTGGAGCATCGGCCCGCGGACCAGAGAGTTCCAGGTTCAGTTCTCACTAAGGGCACCTACCTTGGTTGCAGTTTGTCCCTGGCCCCTGTTGGGGTCGTGTGGGTAACAGCCAGTCGATGTGTCTCTCTCACATCTATGTTTCTCTCTCTCTATTCCTCCCCCTCTTCCTCCTGCTCTATCTGAAGATAAATGCAAAAGTGTCCTCAGGCAAGGATTAAAAAAAAGAAAACTTAAAGCCCAAATGGCCTCATTGGTTACTTTTACTAAACATTTAAGGAAGAAATAATACCAGTTCTACACAAACTCTTCCAGAAAATTGAGAAGGGGGATACTTCTCAACACATTCTATGAAGTCAGGATTTCCCTGATGCTAACACCAGGAGAAAATTACAGACTAATATCCTTCATGAATATAAATGTAAGGGTTCTTTACAAAAAATTAGCAAGTTGAATCCAACAATACATAAAAAGTTAATACATAATGCAAGTAGGATTCATTCCAGAATGCAAGGATGAATAAATATTCAAAAACCAATGTAATTCACTATATTTAGAGACTAAATAAGAAAAACTTCCTGGCCAGTGTGGCTCACTTGGTGAGTGTCCATGGTCACCGGTTTGATTCCCTGTTAGGGCACGTGCCCAGGTTGTGGGCCAGATCCCTGCTCAGGGGCATGTAGGAGGCAGTCAATCAATGATTCTCTCTCATCGATGTTTCTCTCTCTCTCTCCCTCTCCCTTTCTCTCTCTATAAAATCAATAAAGACATATTTAAAATTTTTTCTAATCAATAAAAACATACTAAAGAAAAAGAAAAGAAAAACCATCTAGCCGGTGTGGCTCAGTGGTTGAGCATCAACCCATGTACTAAGAGGTCGCTGGTTGGATTCCCAGTCAGGGAACATGCCCAGGTTGTGGGCCTGATCCCCACAGTGGGGGGCATGTGGGAGGTGGCCAACCAATGTTCTCTCTCATTGATGTTTTTATCTCTCTCTCCTTCTCCCTTCCTCTCTAATGTCAATTAAAAATAATAAATTAAAAATAAAAATAAAAAAACCATATAATCATCTCAAAATTCAACATCAGTTCCTGATAAAAAATATCAGTAAAGTAGGAATTTATTAAGATTGTAGGATAGAAAGTCCATTTACAAAAATCAATTGTGCCCTGACCAGT